AAAAAAATTTTTTTTTTTTTTTTTTTTTTTTTTTTTTTTTTTTTTTTTTTTTTTTTTTTTTTTGAATGTAAAATGGTGATCGGGGTGAGCCCCGAGATGAATAAAATGAGTTTGGTCTGCAGTCCGCTTCGTCTCTTTTTTTTTTTTTTTTTTTTTGTTTAAATAAAATAAAAGAAAGGAAAAGAAGGGGGACAAAGCAAGTTGGGTGCCGTGTTGTTTTTGTTTCAAAAGAGGAAGTAAAATAATAATAATAAAAAAAATTGAGTGGAAAGAATGAAAAAGAAAAAAGATGGTGGAATGGCTCAGGCTTTTGAAGTAAAATAATAAAAAAAGAAAAAGAAAGTTGAGTTGAAAGAATAAAAAAAGAAAAAAAGATGGTGGAAAAAAAAATGGTGGAGATTTACAGGTGGGATTTACAGGTGCTGTTGGTTTTATTCTTTCTTTGGTTTGGGTTGTTTCTTTCGGTTATGTAAAAGACATTCTTATATCAGTATATTAAAATAAAAGAAAAGTGTGAAATAACGTGGGTGGAACCAGCACATGGTTTTGGTTTTATGGTTCATTATTTGAACTGGGGCCAGCCACTAGAGAGCATGTATCTCTCTCTCTCTTCTCTAGAACCAGACTTGATTCCTTCGGTACGCCAGAGAGATGGGTTTAAGCTTCCAGGGTGAGTCGGATAATGCTTCAATGGTGGCGGCGACGTTGGAGTTTCGATCTCCGCCGCCGTTGGTGGAGGCGTGGAGGAGTAATTGTCTGCCGGAGCCGCCGTGGCAGACGGAGGAAGGGAAGGTGCAGTTGACTATGACGACTGTGTAGACACGGCCATAATCCACCTCCAAGTTCTGGGACGAAGCTCTGCCACTCGACGACGTCGGAGTCGATTCTACAGTGGAATCCAGTGGGGTAAGGTAACCAGCTGTTTGGTGTGTTGTGGTATGTGTTGAAAACTCCAGCGAGTAGCGAAGGCAATGTTGCCGGCCGGAGTAGCTGGTGATAGAGTAGCCGGAGGTGGAGTGGCCGGTGGTGGAGCTGAAACCGGTGAAGCGGACACCACAGGAGGTGTGGCCGGAGATTGACCTCCAACGCCGGCGACGACGATGCAGATAAAAAGCTACAACATAGACGGACCTGCGATCCATATCCACGGCCTCACTGGTGTGAAGGTGTTGATTATTCCCTCATAGAGACAAGAGTTTAGTTCAGTTATGGAATTTGTGGCAGGGGAGTGAAGGTATGTGCAGAGGTCCGGCGGGCGGCCAAGGCGAGACTGCCGCCCGCTGGTAAAGCAGAATGACTAGGTTCTTAACCTAGCTCTGATACCATGTAACAATAGTTTGATAAAGAGAGGGAGAGAGAGCAAATGAATAACTCTGTATTTCTGTGTATTTCTGTGTATATTTACAAAGAGATGTACACTCTCTTTATAGAGAGGAGAAGACAACATAGGATGCCAATTGAGGCACCGAAAGCATAAAGCAAGGGGACACTAATTATTAAAGCTAAACACTAACATATAATAATATACTAACAACAACATCAAGATATAAACCGTTGCTTTCCATCATGTGGAATAAGGACAATGCTTTAGCAATATTCCTGTTTTTGCACAGCCCATCCAATATGACACCATAAGTTTGAGAATGCAGAATTATGCCTACAACTTGCATCTCATTAAAAAGTTCTAGAGCAGCCGAACATCTACTTGATCGAAACAAACCCTGTAAAATAGCAGTAAACGTTTCAGTGTTAGGATTCAACCTCGTCGAGGCATTTCTTGAAAGAGATGCATGGCCTCATCTATTTTCATTTTCTTGCAATATCCATTAATCAAAATGTTGTGGCTAACAATGTTAGGGTAAAGGCCCTTGTCCACCATGTTATTGAACACTCTAATTGCTTCATCCATGTGGCCTTGAAAACAATATCCATCCATTAGAGTCCTGTATGTGACTACATCAGGATTCATACCTCTTTGTATCATGACTTCAAGTACCCCCTCTGCCTCGTTCATCATCCCTTCCTTGGTAATATGCATCCACCAACACATTAAATGTACGAACATTCGGAGCAATACCACTATCCAACATTTCTCTTAAGATTTTGATAGCCTCCTTCCACTGACCAAAATTACATAGGCCATGAATCAAAGAATTATAAGTGACAACATCTGGGAAAATACCCTTTTCATTCATTTCTATGAAGAGTTTTATAACATCATCCACCATTCTATCCTTGCAAAGACTGTGAATGATTGTGGTATACACTAGGGTGTTAGGTTTACAACTTGCCTCTTCCATTATCCTAAGCAAACTAACAGCCCTGCAGGTGTTCCCCGTTCTGTAGAGCCCATTGACAATGGTTGAATACATAACCATGTCAGGTTGAATTTCTCTCATTCTGATTAATTTCTTAAACAGTGATAGAGCCATGTGGCAAGAAAACAGAAAAAAAAAAAAAAAAAAAAAAAAAAAAAAAAAAAAACATAGGCACACCCGTCATATAACATGTGGCCCACATCACCTCTGTAGAGCTCCAAAATTAGAGCCGTCAATCCTTATTATTTCTTAAATAACTCTACAACTTCAGGGGTTTTATCTTGCAAAATAAGTCCATTAATCAGAGTGTTGAAGGTAGTTGCATCAGGTGTATAACCACGTTTGAAGAGGGAACCCAACAGAGAGAAGCCGAAATGGAGTTGAAATGGAGTTCAATACCCAAATTGCATCGTTGTTTGGGTATTACAACAACAACAGCAGGAGGAGAAGAAGTAGGGCTAGTAGAGAGAACGAAGCAAAAGAAATGAGGATGAAGAATTATTAGTTAAGGGGAAGGAGACAAGCAGTGGCGTTCCTTTTAATAGCCAATTATAAGCTATTGCTCTTCTAATAGTCGCTGATACATCAATTGTTGACATCATCACCATCATCTTCTTCTTCTTCAAGCTCTCTATCTCTGTGTGTGCGCGCAAGAGAGAAGGAGAGCCCTTTGTAACCAACGCAGCGTGGTATGGAGCTGAGGTGACTTTTTATTTACTTATTTATAGAAAATTTATATTAAAAAAAAACTATTTTGTACTTGTAAGAAAATAATTTCTAATTTTTTTTTAATCTTTTAATTTGTTTTCGATTTGAACTATTTATTTATTTTATTGAAGTAAAATTGATCGAAAAAATAGTATTTTAACTACTAAAAATTAGTATTATTGCAACATAAAAAAAATAAAAAAAAATCATCTCAAGGTCTCTAGTCTTCCTATTTTGCATACAGTTAATTGCGCAAACAACAGTGATAGAGAGCTCTAATTTTGGAATCCTAAAGAGAGCTCTAATGATGTGGTGTGGCAAGAGAAAAACAAAAACATAGGCACATCACATCATATGTGGACCCCACTCATTATCACATCCCTAGAGTTCCAAAATTAGAACTCCTAATTTTTATTCTTACACAAATGATTTCTTTCAAAAAGTCACCAGTAGTAATTTGATAGTCATTTAATCATTCTCGTGCTTTAAATCACCTCCAGCAAAATGGACAAGTTGCTAATAATTGTTGTGTTATGATCAATTCTCTTCCAACTGCCAGGTGTGGACCGTTGTCATAGATGATTTCTTTCAAAAAGTCACCAGTAGTAATTTGATAGTCATTTAGTCATTCTCGTGCTTTAAATCACCTCCAGCAAAATGGACAAGTTGCTGATAATTGTTGTGTTATGATCAATTCTCTTCCAGCTGCCAGGTGTGGACCGTTGTCATAGATGGATTGTGGAGGAGGTCAACACGATAGGCGGGTATGGCTTGGGTTTGTTTTGCAAATGCTTGTCTTCAAGCTATCCGGTGGGCAGTGGAACAACGACTATCATGTGTTTCCATATTCACAGATCGTAAGATTTTAGTATGTATCTTCCGGGGTGGTTCCCAGCCTAATTGGGTTTTAATTAATGTAAGGGAAGACATCAAAACTTGTTTTAGCTTGTTTCAATTCTTTACTGTATCTAAGGTAGATCGAAATGTAATCAACCAAGCCCATAAGCAGGCTAGACTTGTCAATGGTTTTGCGAAGTAATCTATATTTATATATATATATATATATATGTTTTCTGTTGTTCCCAAAAAATGAAAAAAAAAAAAAAGAAATCATGAAAGTATTGTAATAACCCGACCCTCGTACATGATTCTGGTAACTTTTCAGTCCTCTATTCTGTGTTTTTGAATGCTTGTTGTGAAATTCCATGAGAAATAGAGGCTAAGTAAGTAAACCCCATGTTTAAGGATATCCATCTGTTCAACAAGGGAAAATATCTGTTACATCTCTAAGTTAGAAGCAGAAATTGGAAGCCTTAGGGGCTTAATTAACTGAAATTGATTATATATATATGATCAGCATAATTTTTATGTAATATTAAGCATGTTTGGGAAATTTCAATTTCGGATGTTTGAACGATTGATTTTTGTCTTTATTTAATATATCTATGTATATATGTCTATAAGAAGCCTCTTTGAAGAAGACTTAGGAATTCCTCATAAAACCCCCTTGGGGGACAAGTGAAGGGAAGAGTGGAACAAGGAAGGATTGAGTGGGAGAAGACCTAGAGGGGAAACTTCAACAAGATTAGAGATTGAATAATCTAGAGAGAATTGGAAAGATCTAAGCTCAGAAGTAAGTTCTTTAGCTTCTCTAACTCCTCTCTTGAATTTGAGTGTGATTCCATCATACTTGTACAACCTGAACTTGGAACATGCTTTTAAATTGGATGATTTTGAACTAAGTTGTCTATGTATATATGTGGAGAAATTATCTTTTGTTTCTCATGAGAATTATGAAGAACTCACCATGCATATATATGTGATGTTGAATGTATAAGAAAGTTTAGTTATGTTTGAGAATCAAGAATCTAGTTTATGTCTAGATTGATATGTATGTATTTGGAGATCCTATTAACATGAGTTTTAGGTTATGTTTTATTGATTAAACATGTTAATTTGAGCCTTGTGGAAGTGTCCCAAAAGAGTGTGATTTTGAAGCAAAATTCGGATTGAAATTGCAGAATCGCCGCACGTGCGGGATTCATGGCCGCACGTGCGGGAGCCAATCACCGCACGTGCGGGGGTTGTGGCCGCACGTGCGGGAGAAGAACAAATTTGGGGTTTTGATTCTGCCTAAAAGGCACGTGCGGGACTTGCCGCCGCACGTGCGGGGATCCCAGCCGCACATACGGCACATGTGGGAAAATACGGGTTTCTCCCTCGGACATTTTTAGAATTTGCATTTTATGCCTACTAACATGTGTAACATTCATTCGAAGTGAATTAAACCAAGAGAGGATTTAACAAAGAGAAGTGAACTAATTTGTAAGTTTGAAAGTTTGAATGTGTGCAGGGCACACTACGGGAGGAACCAGCACGTCATCACAACACTGTAAGTAATAGTACTTTGATGTACCTTTAACCGTATATCGTTATTGATGTTAAATCTTCGTCGTAAGAATTATACTGACATATATGTTATGTATGCTATGTGAGAAACACTGTGACATTATGGGAACTTCAAAAGAGTTTGTGAAGTTATGTGAAAAACATTATGAAATTATGAAAACATCAAAAGAACTTGTGAAATATGAAGTTATGTGACCAAGGGCCATTTGTGAAGATCAAACCTATGTGGCCAAGGGCCGACTTGTGACTTATGAAGCTATGACGCCAAGACCAAATTTGTGAACTTGTGAATCCAAAGGGCTGAAGGCCGATGTGATAAGTTGTGAATCTATGAAATCCAAAGGCTATTGTGAATGTGTGAACCCCTCAGGCTGAGGGCCGAACTGTGAAATTGTGAAACCAATAAAGTCATCTGTAATCTAATGAAAATGTGCTTACTGTTCGTTAATACTTATCAGGAATGTCCTGTTAACTTTACGTTAATTATGTCAACTCATGGGAATGGTGTAACGGTTACCATTAGAACTCTGTTAATTACAAGGCAAGGCAACTATGTTAACATATAAGAATGATTAAACAAAGGTGTATGCTATTGATTAATAGAGCACGTAACGTAAGTTATTTACCCAAAAGAATTTATGTTCATTCTTGAAGAATGGATTCTGAGTAAATATAAGAGTAGCTATGTGTATCCATATGAATTAAAGTTATTTTGCTATGTTGCTTATAACTTGGAAGTTATTCAGAATCTACGATACAAGTACAAAGTTTAGCATCATTGTGTGACCCTCATGAGGATGTGAATTAGTCTCTCATTATTAAGCGTACGATAATGACATGATACAATAAGAAATGCTCTAGTCATGATATGTTCCATTTGAATTAATGAATGATGTTCAAGTATGTTTCAGGCATGTTTCCAGTATGTTACAAGTTCAGGTATGTTTCAAGTATATGTTACAAGTTTAAATATGCTACAAGGTCAAATATGTTTCAAGGGCTTTATGCCAATCTTTCAAGGGCTTTATGCCACATGTTTCAAGGGCTTTAGTGCCATATGTCACAAGGGCTTTATGCCACACGTTTCAAGGGCCTTAGTGCCACATGTCACAAGGGCTTTATGCCACATGTTTCAAGGGCCTTAGTGCCACATGTTACAAGGGCTTTATGCCACAAGTTTCAAGGGCTTATAGCCACCATGTTTCAAGGGCCTCGTGCCACCATGTTTCAAGGGCTTATAGCCACCATGTTTATGTTGCAAGATTGAACCTAAGGCCATTATGTACTTGGCACAGAATCAGACTAACTATGTGAACTCTACATCTTTATATGCATTGCTATGTGTTATGTTTCAAGTTAAGCATCGTTTTATTTATGTGTTACTATTCATTGAGCCCGACTCACTCTCTGTTATGTCTGTTTCTATGGGTCGCCAATTAGGTGATCAGTCACAGCCGTGACGCCGCTTTCTTTTGTCAACCTTCGTATGTCCAGGCACTATACACAGCCATTGATTTTGTTAAGCTGATAAGATGTTGGCTTGCTTTTCGAATGTCTATCTAAGAGTGATGTATATATCCTTCATGTTTTTTGTATATGCCCAATGATAGGGCTGGGTCTGTATATATATGTATGTATATAACCGATGTTCAGGTGTATGTTTTAGATTTTATTTGTTTGTTAAAAGTTTGTGATCCTGGCATGATAGTAGTAGCCCGATGGAGTTTGTTTCTAGTGTCAAATTTTGATATTTAGTGCTTCCGTTTAGGCCCCATATATATAGATATAAAACAGGTTAAGTGTCCGTTTCTGAAGTGGTCATGTCCAAACTTCTAGGGGCAGGTTTGGGGTGTGACAAGTATGTATTTGCTTGAGAGCTTTTTCAAGTTCCTCGCTCCCTGCCATTAAGCGGCTGCACATTTCAGATAAAATATGAGAACCTTCAAGATGGAGACTAACCATGAAAATGTAATTTAATTTTGGAATCAGAAAGAGTAAGTCGGGAGAGAATTACATACGAAATTAACCACAGTAACTAGTATACTACATATGTGCATAGTAGGTGATTTCAGATGTTGCTAACCTTGATAAGCAGCTAATCCCAAAACGTGTGGGCTCCTCTGAGGTGAACATGATCGCTTCTAGTGATCTTATATGCTTAAACACAAACCTGTGAAAAGTCCAATCAGCATAATATAAGCAGTAATTGATCCAAAAGAAACATATAGAAGAAATGCAAAAGCAGATTCTTTTCTCACACAGAATTTAATTAAAAATTCTGAAGTAGAAAAGTATATTGTGGCCATTTGAAGAACCCTCGACTGAACAAATTCTAAAAGCCTGCCTATGTAGAATTGGCTACCAAACCTTTCTGAATATCAGCTATATCAAGGACTATATCCCCTTTCTGATCATGCAGACCATGTGCTTTCTCATTCACCTTAACCCATGTTATTTTCTTGGTGGCCTTTCTCCTGTTCTAATAACAACTTCCTTGCAAATCAGATTACTTCTTATTACTAGTTTAATCAATGGTTGCACATATAAAGAAAAGAAAAATAAATAAATAACATCTTGTTTCTTGTTGATGCAAAGGTTTGGTAATGTCCATCTCGATATCCTCAATCCAACTACACGGATTATATAGATACCTTGGTTTTCTTTTATGGTTCTTGTTGGTAAATAATTAAATAAAAATTTATGTACGAGTTTTTGACTGGTGTGTAAAATACAAAATTTTAACATGTTTTTTGACGTCATTTAGTTCTTAAAAGAATCTAGGACATACAGTATGGATAGATAGCAAGATCCCCCAATGACTATGTTGACAAAATTAGCAGTGGACTTCAGTTCTTCTATTTCAAACATGTTTTGCAACAGTCAGACCACTTGCAAACCTTTTCAGTACATTGATGGCTTGTATTGCACCCAAAACACCAACAACTCCATCGTACTTCCCAGAATAAGGAATTGCATCAATATGAGAACCTGTTGCAACTGCAGCTAGCTGTGGTTCATAGCCCTCCCTGCATAGAAGCAAATGAGACAAAGGGGTTGAGCACTAATGAAGAAGTTCAGATAAAATCAGCACAACAAAATGAAGAAAAAGTAATTCCTAGAATTAAGGTAACTCAACAGAACGGAAAAGGTTATCTGTCGACTCAAAATTGCATGAAATATACACAAAATCTAAAGATTGATTTGGTGAAAAATTGAATGCTCCAATCCTCACTCAAACATTCCAAGCTTATCCACAAAAACTTCTTTCGTCAAATTTGGTGAAAAATTATAAATTTGGATAAGGTTTGGAGATGCTGTAAGTGTTGACAAATAATAAACAAACTTAGAACCCAGTAGACTAAATAAAATCCCGTATAAAACAAAATGGATTCGATCAATTTCCGTGAGAGTTTCAAAACACCCCTACTGTTAAATTTTTCAAAAAAAAAAAAACATCCAGTTCACGAATCATTGGCACAACCAAACCTATATTACAATCAAACTCAATAGTTCGATTGCTAAAACAATCTTTCTGACAAAACCAAGTTCAAAGAATACACACAGAGAGAGAAGCAAAGACAAAGATATAGAGAATTTGTATCAATACCTGTTTCTACAAACTTTGATTATCCATTGATAGTAAAGATAGTGGATTTTGGCAGTGGGGTTCGTGAATCCGGTAAAAGAAGATAGAAATTGAGAGCCATCTTATTCAATCTGGTATGTTGATTGGTGTTCGATGGTTCGCTATGAAACTGTCTGTACTTTTATCCATGAATGGTAGTAGTGGAAGTCCTCTGACAAACAAAACTAAGAACTCACCAGTTTGGTGAAAAATGTCAAAGGTATTGAAATCAATTCTCTTTCAAAATCTCTCACGATGGGACTCATAAATAATGTTTCCATGTTCTATATTTTGATAAAAATATAAAAAAAAATATAATGTTTGAATTTGTTTATGTATTTGAAAGTCCTCTTTAAGAATGGTGGTTTGGCCCAATGATAAGATTTGCTATTAATGTTTGAGGTGGCATGGATTAGAATTACAAAAACAGTCTCTCCAAAATAGGAGTGAGACAATGTACATTTTAACATATTTAAGATCTTGCTTTAGCGAAAATCTCATGCATTGAATGGTTCTTTATTTGGGAGTCCACTTTCGTAATTAGCACAAACTTATTTATCCAACAATAGAGTAATCTATTGATTAACATGTATGTGTTATATACATCTAGTGGTATGCAAGTTTTAAAGTTTTAAACTCCAACAGTAATGCCCTATACTTTCTGCAATGTTAATCCTTTTATTACTACGAACTGAATCTTATTCTCTGAAACTTAGAAAAATAATGATTTGAAATTTTCTCTTGGCTACTGGTCGTTTAAATACATTGCTGGTTTGAGCTAATATGGTGCCGAATCTAGTTTGAGCTGTTACTCTTGTTTAATACTAAATAAGCTGAAATCAGGATCACAATTCCAAAAAAATATGAAAAAAACAGAACAAATTTACAGAACTAATGGCCAGCTGAACCAGGTTTTGCCAAGTGAAACTACAATACAAGAAACAGTTGAGTGCTCAAACTGAAATACACTATGATGGCTTAGCAGAAAATTCAAAATATATGATTTTGTGGAAATTAGTATACAACCATTGTAGCAGACGTGAAAAACTGCTTGGTGAACTAGTATCTTCTTTTGGCACAAACTATACAGATTTTACATGAAACAAATCCTTTTGGAGAACATTAGGAAGGAGCACAAACGTTGCACAATGTTGTTCATCCACCAACAATAGGTGTAATAACATTTCACTGACCGCTTCATTTGGCAAGAAGTTTCTGTTATGCATTTCTCCAAAAAGTTGCATTGCTTTATCGATTTCATTTTCTCTAAGAAAACCTTGAATCATGATATTGAATGAAATGGAGTCCAGTGAACAACCCTTCTCTTCCATTTGCAAGAACAATTTCTTGCATAAGCCATTGATCATTATGTTATATGTTACAACATCAGGAACCAACCCTTTCTTTGATAGCTCATCAAACTGTTTCCTTGCTTCCCCTAGTTTACCAGCTCTGCACATTCCATTAATGAGAATGCTCACAACTTCAATGTTAGATTCAAGCTCAGTACTTTTTACAGACTCGAACAGACATATTGCTTCCTCAATGTGTCCATTTTTGCAGAGCCCAGCCAACAGAACAGAATATGCATGTAAATCTGGAGAGAGGCCACAAACTTGCATGTCCTTAAATAGTTTCTGTGCAGTCCTAAGTCTTCCTGTCTGGCACAGTGCTCCGACTAGTGTGCTGTAAGTCACACTCGTGGGCTTCAAACTCTTGCAATGCATTTCCTGAAAGAGTCGGAGAGCATCATCAATCATCTGATGTTTGCAATACCCATTAATCAATATGTTGTAGGAAGTAACGTTGTGCTCTCCACCCTTATCAACTATCGATTTGAAAACCTTTTCTGCATCGTCCAACTTGCCTGACATACATAACCCATATATGAGTGAATTACAAGTATAAATATTTGGTTCCTTGCCAAGTTGAATCATCAATTCAACTAGCTTGTAAGCTTCTCCGACCTTGCCCTTTTTGCAGAGACAATCAATCAGTATCATGAATGTTACAGTATCAGCAGAAACACTGTGTCCAACCATATCCAGAAATCCAACTGGCAAAAACCATGAATTAAGGAATTATATGTGACGACATCTGCTGAAATTCCTTGACCTACCATTTTGTTGAAAAAATTCATACCTTCCATCAATCTGCCAAATTTACACAACCCGTTAATCAAAGAACTATAGACAACAAAATCAGGGGAAATGTTTATGCTTTCCATTTCCAAAAACATTTCCAGTGCCTCGGTGATTAACCCGTCTTTGCAAAGAGAATCAATGATCATGCTATAAGTAAGCACATTTGCCTTGCCAATCAAATTCAACATCTTCCTATGCAACTCGACAGCAAGACCCGTCTCGTGAATTTTACAAAGCCCATTGATGAGAATTCCATATGTGTACACATTTCCTTTAACACCATTCTCAGTCATTTTATCAAACAGGTGAACTGCACTCAAAACCTCACCCACCATACACATCCCTTAACCAGAGTACCAATAGTAACCGAGTCAGGCTCGAAACCCCTCTTCAAAATCTCCCCAAACACACAAAACCCACAATCTACATTACTCAAATGGTAACAAAAATTGATCAAAATGTTCAGTGTACATAAATTAGGTCCAATTCCTAAAAAAACTCAACTTTTTATGTATTGAAAACACATCTGAATAACATCTAAGTTTCGCCATAGAACCCAATAGATGATTGAATGTATCGATTGACTATGTTGATTGAATTTGAACCAACTTATGAAAGTATTGTAAGGCGTCATGAAGCTTAATTTTACCTGATTTACATTGCTCTCTGACGAAGTATTCGAACTGGCTCGGATGACCCAAAAAGTTTTTTCTTCGACAAGTGTTCCTGATTTGGGATTTTGAGATGAAAATCTGAGATGGGTTTGTGAATAGGAAAAATGCTTGGGAGCACTAATTAGTGCTCCCACTAATTAGGTGGCAGTGGGTCCCGTCATTAATGATGTGATGTTTTAGTCTTGGAATTGGGTTTTTTTTTTTTTTTTTTTTTTTACTTTTTTAATGCATTAGTGCTATTAGTAGTGATGTTTTTAGTGGGATGAATCATTGTTGTTGTGAATAGAGAAGACAAAAGAGTACGAGGATTTACATTTCTGAATTGCATTTCTTAAAAAAAAAAACACACCAAAAAAACAAAAGCAAGTATTTTGTAACATCAAAGTTGTCACTCTTTAAGTTGGTCATGAAATAAAACATCATGACCACGTTTTTTTTTTTAAATTTCCCTCTTATCAAAAAAAAATTATTTTTAAATTTATTTTAAGCACTCAGTTAATTGATTCCTAAATAAATAAATAACAAATGCAATGCAACAATGACAAATTTAGGGAGAGATATTTTAGGGGTCATTTTTTTTTTCCCAAAGCAACTATGTTTACAATTTTCACCTTAATCATGTTAAAGCTCATTAATTAATTCCAGCATACATACATCATGAATTTATTTTCATCCTAAATTGCAACAATTTTGGAATATAATAGATAAATTATTATCTCTCTTAACTCATGCTTTTAGGATAAGTTTATAAAACCTTATTTTGAAACTTTTGTGATAATTAAGAAGCTTTATTTGATCTCCGATGAATGACAAATGAGCTATGAAACAATGCATTATTGATAAATTCGCCAACAGATTATGAAGAATTGCATTTGATAAAGTATTGGGTGATATCATTCTTAATTGAAACATGTAGGCAATTAAATGCAATCATAAAAAGAGGTCAAGGGTTGTGGATTAGCACCTTGAGGTCCACGGGGAGGAATAGGATCCATATAGTACTGCTTCTTATTCTTTTTCTTCAAGAAACATACCAAACAAATGATGATCATAGCAAGAACCACAATGCCACCACCCACGGCTGCTCCTACAATAATTCCTGTATATGATGACGATGATGATGATGATGGTGGTGGCGATGATGATGTTGGTGAGTGGTGGTGACTAGAGGATGAAGGCGGTGACTTGCTCGACGTGTGTGGAGGTGGAGGCACTGAGATAGAAGATGGCGGTATTGGTACAAGTGACGGAGGAGGTGGCAAAGCCAAGCTGGGTGAGCCTGGATTGGTGAAATTTGTTGTAGAAGGCGGTGGTGGGGAAGCAACAGTAGTAGGAGGAGGCGGTGATAGTACTAATGACGGTGGTGGTGGTGGTGAGTGTGGCGGTGAGCCATTTGGTGCAGGTGGTGATGGCGATGTAGTTGGCGGCGGGGATTCGGTTTTTTCAGGTGGTGGTGGGGAAGGAGAAGGTTTAGGGGGAGGGGATTTTGCAGTTGGTGGAGGAGGAGAAGCGGGTGGCGGTGATGACGGTGGTGGTGACGATGGTGGTGGTGATTTTGTTGGTGGAGGTGATGTTGAATTTTTAGAAGGCGATGACGATGGAGATGAAGATTGTTTAGAGTCGGATAGAGGAGGCGGTGATTGAGATTCCGGGGACGGAGCAGTCACGGAGGCCATATTGAAATTCCGGTCAATATTTATGAGTCAGAATACACGCCGGAAATTCCCCTCCTCCTCTACCGTAACTGCTCGCCGCCAATACTTCAGGACCCTAAACACAACAACAACAGCCACCCACAAAATGGCTGAGATTCAATTCAAAAACAAGAAGCTCATTTGTAGCCACAAACCAATTACGAAACAAACGCTCAAGCTAAAGTTACATTAATTTAGTTCAGGCAATGTCTAGAACACCTTTGTCATAATAAAAAGAAAAAATTACATTGCCACTCAAAAAAAAAAAAAAAAAAAATGAAATAAGAAAGAAAGAGAGGCAACCCAAGCCTCCCACGCCTTCTCTGTTAATTATATATATAAGACTTGGGCGCTTTCTTTTAATTACCCGATGATGACAATCAGAATGTGTTTATCACAGAATCCTCAGTAAGAGAGATGAAATTTGAGTTTTAATCTCAACCTTCACATATTTTTGGCCAACTTATTTTTCATCCAAAATTCACCAATCTCTACTACTAAAAGAATCTTGGCTCTTTAATCTCCACTACCAAATTTTCAACACATCAATCCCTACTCACCATCCACTTTCATAATCACACCTCATCCTCCCCGCTCATCATCCATTTTTCTAATCACATACCACCATCACCACTTACCATCCACCTCTATTATACATTGTCTCCCATTAACTCTATTAGTGCCCCCATTAGCTCCATTACCTTCCCTAAATGCTACACTTTGTCTTCCACTTTGTCTTCCACCATTACTCCACTAGCATTCCCTATACAATGACAGCTCAAGTCTTGAATTTGGAGAGAAGGATTTTTTTTAGAAGAGAAGTGTAGAGAGAATGCTAAATTTGAGTTAGAATTGTAGAGAAAAGAAAGCCTTGAAAACAAAAGAGTAGTCTTGCCAAGGTGAAAAAAAATAAAGAGAGATCATACACTTGTCCAAAACCATTATTCTAGCTCAAATTTCAAGCTCTTAAATTGAGGACTAAGAACATAATTCACAAACTTGAGAGTGATCAAGAGAAAGTTTGGAAATCAAGAAGTTCACTCTTTCTCAGGAAGGTGATTTTTCAATTTTTTCATCTCTATTTCAAATTCATTTTCTTACTTTTGTTTCATATTGTTTTGTTGCAAAATAATTAAGTTTTGATTCCTTCATTTTCTTGCAACTTTCTATCTTGTACTTGTTTTCTTACTTTAGTTTCATATTAGTTTT